GTAAGATGAGAGCTCTGTAAACTATTCTGAGCTTCAGCGTTTGCTGAGGCAAAGCTAAATTTAGCAATCATGTGTCTGGTGTGGTCAGAGGTTCTGATTCATTAGGGTTCTGATTCATTGAACGTTCTGATTGATGGAGACAAGAGTTTCAGTGAATGTCCTAATGCCTTAGGTTTGCTCTTCACTCTCCCTGCTGTTACTTTTACGATGGACAATTTAGCTACAGCGTTATGTCATTAAGTACCAAATCTTACTGGAGGACTGTAGGTGGAGAAAGTGTAAAAACTCTGGTCATGTGTATACTGAACCCAGTACCGCGTTAGATCAGTTTGAAAACAACCCCTTATTTACGTTCCCATAATTTGTATGTCTCATGAAAGTAGAAGGCTGACTGTGCATGGCAAAATTCTAGTATTTTCGATTCCACTCAGTTTAGTGATCCATCCTGGCACCTTTGGCATGTAAGCTCTTACAGAAAATGTCTTAGAAATTCTCTAAATTTCATGCTTTGGCATTACATATGCCTGTTAATATCACAAAGCTTGCTCTTAAGGTAGGTGTCTTCACTCAGAATTGAGTTCTAGCATAGGAAGTATCTTGTGCTAAGTTATTCCTCTGGTTTGCTACTTTGTTTCCTTTTGAAAACATTTTTATTAAAAACCTGGCCCTAATGGTTATTACTGCGTCTTTGAAACACAGGCTTGGGGATAAAAAGACAAAAAGAACAACTTTTAAAATCCCCTTTCTGTGCGTCCATTATTAGGCCCAAATACTTCCTCTGCACAACTACAGATCTGGGAAGCATAACCAGGCACACAAAGCCGCGTATGCCCAGTTGACTAACTAGGAAGCCTCTCGGGTTTGCTCTAATGAAGGAGGTGTCCAATCATTGCCCCTGTCCTTGCTATTATCAACCAGGTGGCTTTAATGCTATTATACAAAAATGTGGACTAAGGCCTAGGGTAGAAACTGTATGGAAACAGTAGCATAGTTTAGGAGAGAAAAGATTATTTTAATCTGAATTCCAAGGACGTGGCCTGCAACAATCATGCTTCCCCAGGAAATTCTCAGGAAGTCATTAATGGTGAAGTGAGATGACCTTAAATTTGTTCCTTCTACCCTGGTGAGAGCAGAAACAAGAACTCGGGGTCTGGCCAACACTGACTGTGAACGTCCTTGGTGCCAGAATCTGAGCTAGGTGTGGCAGAGGACACAGACTTGAGTCAGGATGTAGTTTTTCCTTTCCATGAGCTCAGAGTCCAACTCAGGTGGGAGCAGGGGGCAAGTCAGACAAGGTCACAAAAGACAGTGCCAAAACGGCATGTGAAGAGTGCCATGAGCAGCCCTAATGGCCGTGGGAAGTAAAGAACACAGTGGGCTGTGGAGAACAGGAAGTGCCTCTTAGGGTGGTGGTTCTCAGAAGTGAGCCCACATCACAATCACCTGGAAGGCCCCACTCCAGAGTCTGGGATTCAGTAGGCCTGGCATGGGGCCTGAGAATTTACATCTTTAACATCCCAGGTGATGCTGATGCTGCTGGTCTGGTCTGGGACTGACGGAGAACCACTAACTTAGGGGAAGTCTTGTTTGAGTTGAGCTAGAAGGTGAAAAAAAAAAAAAAGGTAAAATGCGTTTTGGATTAAAGGATTAAAATTTGGCAGATAGGTAAGTGAAGGCAGCAGAGTTGAAGTTATGAACAAAGGTCTGGAAAGAATCATGAGGGGATGTGCCGGGAAAAGGCAAGGAATCCACATAAAGAAATGGTGGCAGATGAGGATGGAGTGATGCCAGAGGGCACCTTGTAGAGTCTGTGCCTACTCTGGAGGGAAGTGAGGAGCCAAAGGTTTTGAGCAGACAAGGCATCTAACCATAATTACATTCCAGGAAAATGTGGCAGCAGTGTTAGCAGTATTTGCCTAACCAGTTAGCTGTGTTGCGAAGGAATCTGAGGCTGAGGATGGACCCAACCCTGTGATGAGTGGTTTTGGCCATGGGTAAAGAAATAGAGAAGGGCAGAATTTTGCCATCTGTATGTTGTCCCTGAACTACAGGGACACAGATGAGGAGAACTTTGGGACAGCTGTGATTGCAGGTAATCAGGAACTATATTCCTTCAGACATATATAAGGACTTCCTACAAGATAGCACTGTGGAAATGGATATAAAAGATTCTGCTAAGATAGAATCTACTAGATACGGACACTGATTGATTCATTTACTTGGCAAAAATGTGTGAAAGAAGCCAGGGATAGGAATAAAACGTAAACCGTACTCTCAAGTTACTCACAGGCTAGAGAGGGACTGTGGCAACAGAGAGAGATGTTCCTGAGAGGCTTCCTGGAGGATGTGTCTGAATGGAGGCACAGAGTGTTAGTAAAAGTTGGCCAGGCAAACTGGTGGTGTGCTGGGGAGCAGGGGGTAGGCTGGGGAGGAGAGTTTGATGTTCTAAGTATGAGCAGCCATGGAGACAAGGATGATCCATGAGGACTGCAAGTTGCTGTGTTGTAGAGGATAAGGAGGGAGTGGTAAAGCCAGGTAAGGGCAAATGGGGGCCAGGCGCAACAGGGCAGAGACCTTAGAATGCGTGCGGTGGACTAGGGGAAGCATCTACGGTCCGATGGGTTACTGGGGGCATGAAGGGTGCCTTCATAGAAAAGCGATCTGGAGGCTAGGAGACCCGTTAGGATGCTGGTGCAGTTGTCCAGGCACTAGAGGACCTGTAAATTAGGGCAGTGCGAGAGGTACTAGAGCAGAGAGATTGGAGAAGTGGGACTCTGTGGAAGTGGGGAGCAGAGGACTGGTGGACCACTATGGCTTCTGCGGATGTGGGTTGGGTAAATGGTCATGCCCAAAACAGGGCTGAAGGCTAGAGGGGAGAGGGATGGTTGAAGAAGGGAAACCATGAATTCTGTTAATTAGATTGTGAGCTTGAGGTACTTGTGGCCCCTCCATGTGCCAGCAGCCGGCTGGACATGAGTCTGAAGCTCAGGATTGAAGTTTGGGCTGTAAGTAATGATTTGGGAGTCATTAGCATTTATGTGGCTTGAAATCGTAAGGGTAGATGAGATCACTCATGGAGGAGTCAGCGGAATAGTGGTCTGGGAATACCAACAAGGAAGTAGGCAGAAGAGGTGTAGGCCCAAGAAAAAGAGCAGATGGTATGAGAGGGCCAAGGAGAGCCGGGAAGCTCAGGGAGTAGGGCCTTTCCAAAAGGGAGATGGCAGCAGCAGAGAGGTGATGGAGGGCAAGGAAAAGCAATGTGTCAAGCTGCTCAGGGCTTGGAAAATGGGAAGGAAGAGCCTACTGATAAAAACTGGGGAAGCAGAAAAGGGAGGGGGGAAGATGATTCACTTTGCGGGCGCCATGTTTTCGATCACGTCGAACAAAAAGCTGGAATTTAAAATCGTGCATCTCGGGGAACAGGTTGGGTTATAAGTACTGGTTTGGGTCAGCTGTTGGAAGTATAGACTACATAAACCCTTGAGGAAAGTTGTTAAGGGAGTAGGAAGGTGGAAGAACTGGCCAAATAATCATAAAGGCAGGAATGTGATGCAGTTCTCAGAGGTTAAATCTATAGGCTGTTATTGTGTGGTCTGCCTCCTCCTGGTAAGGGAGGGGTTTGGATGCTGGGGAGGTCTTTAGGAGGAGGACTGCTGCGGACGTGGTCACACCAGAGGATTATTCCAAGCCATTTCATCCTTCTCCCCCAAACTCTGCTTATTCAGCCTCTTAAAAATCAAAAGGCAGGGCCGGGCGCAGTGGCTCACACACGTAATCCAAGGTGGACGGATCACGAAGTCAGGAGTTCGAGACCAGCCTGGCCAACATGGTGAAACCCCATCTCTACTAAAAACACAAAAATTAGCTGGGCATGGTGGTGAGCGCCTGTAATCCCAGCTACTTGGGAGGCTGAGGCAGGACAATCGCTTGAACCCGGGGAGGTGGAGGTTGCAGTGAGCTGAGATGGCGCCACTGCACTCCAGCCTGGCGACGAAGCAAGACTCCGTCTCAGGGGCTGAGGGGGGAACCAAAAGGTATTTTACCTTTTTTTTTTTTTTTTCCTGAGACAGTGGCATAATCTCAGCTCACTGCAACCTCCACCTCCTGGGTTCAAGCGAGTCTCTCACTTCAGCCTCTCGAGTAGCTGGGACTACAAGTGTGTGCCACCACGCCTGGCTAATTTTTGTATTTTTTGGTAGAGACGGGGTTTTCGCCCTGTTGGCCAGGGTGGTCTTGAATTCCTGACCTCAAGTGATCTGTCTCTGCCACCCAAAGTGCTGGAATTACATGCGTTGAGCCACCACGTCTGGCCAACATTTTACATTTTAATCAGTGTTTATCTACATCTTCTGGGGTCCATGTAAGATCTAGCCAAGGAAAACAACGTTGAAGTCCATTTCTTCTTGGGCGTTTTGAATTCAAAATGAATTTTCACAGGTGCTAACAGTTATCTGAGCTGGAAGATGTGGAAACCAAGTTACTTGTGAAGCAAAAGTTACCTCCATGCCTGTGGGAAGACAAATCTGGTGGCATTTAAGACACAGTGACAATATGGAGGAATCAGGTTAGGAGAGACTAGCAGAAGCAAGAGGTGACAGGGCTTGAGGTTGGGTTGGTGGCAGTCATTTACCAAAGGCCTGGAGTACAGAGGAAGTAAAATGCAAAATGGCACTGCAGAGACAGCATCAATGGGACATGTATGGTGTTTAGGTGTGGGGGGCAGTGAGATGTACCCGTTGAGAAACACTGAGAAACTTGTGACCTTTTTGCAGATGGCCCCGGAGCTCCTGTTGGTACTGCATGTTGCCCTTGGTGAGTGAATGAGGGCAGCTGAGTATTACATGAGGACCACAGCAGAATGTGGCCTGGCACATCGTTGGTTAAGGTACATCCGGGCTTTGAGACATTTTCCTCTGGTCCTCCTGAGCCCTGAAGTCCCTGAGACCCCTCTGGGCTCCCTTTAAAATCTCCTCTCCACCCACAGATAGCAGCAAGAATCAGACTGAGCTCCTGGCACGGAGCTTTTCCATGAAGTTTATTAGAAGGGCACTTAACAAGAGGAAGAGAGGGGACGAGAGGACACAAATCTTTAACAATAGGGGTACGATGCTTAAAACAGGTGCTCTGCTTTTAAGATAAAAAAGTTAGAAAAATCTAAAACACTATAAATACATACATGCTTTTTACAAAGATATTGAAAGGTCAGGCTGGCTGAATAGTAAAGGTATCAACATAGTCAATGCTCTATTCCCCATCCCTCAACAACACACACCAAAGTAAGAGTCCAGAACAGCCGAGTTGCAACAGCAGCAGTGAAGGTGAGTGAAGGCTTCTTGGATAAAGACGGCTCCATCTCTCTGGGTAATGCTTTCAACCCCAGCAAGGGAGGGGACTTGGTTCAGAGGACCCTTGTGGAAGGGCCCAGATTTGACTCACAGCTGCCTGTTTTTACACGTGGCCACTTGTTTAGCCAGTCTGGTTTGGTGTTTCTGGGTGCTGAGCCAAAAAGCCATTACACCCTCCACCAACCTTCAGAACTGGCTGTGCCACAGCTCTTCCAGCCACTGTCCTTGGGCAGAGAGACCTTTCTAACTTTCTTTAAAAAATTAAATAGTTATCTGTCTGAATGGTTTTAAGAAATTATTACATAAATATAAAAACACCAGCATACTAGAGTATACATTACTTCTGCATTAAAAAAGAAGAAAATCCATTACAGAATCACTGAGAATTTCTCAATCCAGTTTACATGAGAGGCAAGCTGCTTTTTGCATGACAGCTGTGTTTTTGAACAATTGCCTGTTTTAGTCCATGGTCTCCTCACCACCTCCCCGTGGGAGATGCTTCATCTTCATTTTGGATCCATGTCCTCATGCATCCATTTTTCTGCTTCCCCTTCCTACTTGAGAAGTGGCTGATGCTCCTTAAACGGTGATGGAAATACACTGTGAAGACTGTTACCTGAAAGGGGCCTACAAGGGAACATTTTTGCCACACAAAGTACAACTTTGCTGTGTTGAGGTTTTGTTCTGGTAAAGTGAGGACACATATTTTGGGGAACCTCCCAACTCTAGCCAAGTCACACTGTAAGAAACAGGGTCTAGGGCTAAACGTGTGCCCTCTCGCTGCTGGTATCCCCCTCGGTGAACAGTCCCACAAGCAGCCTGCAGATTCTTTTCCCTACATCTGTCAGGACGAAAGAGAGTGGTCTAACCTGAGCTCTGGCCCTGTGGAGACCCTCATGGAGCCTGAGGCTGAGAATGAAACAGATCTTTGCTTCCTCCCCAGATTACTCACATACATACGTGCATGACATGCACACACTACTACAAACCTTCCTGTCATCTGAGTAAAAGCATTTCCCCTGGAATATGTCCAAACTCTAGGAAGCCAAGGGGAGAAGGAGAAAAAAGAAAGCAAGCACACGACATGTGCTATAGCTCACTTCGCTATATTAACAATGGTTTAAAAAAAATAATCACCACGGTCATTAAAAAAATACAGATAACATAAGGACAACAGAGATGTCTGCCAGCAGCTTGGCTCTCATGTGTGCTCTCCCTAAGAGTCAAAGTCCCCGTTCCTGACTCTAGGCTTGTCTCAAAATGTCAGGTCTACAGCCTGCCAGGAAGGTGGCCGGCTAAGGATGTTCCAGCACAGGCCTGTAATCCACACCGGCGGGGTAGCCACCTATGCACGCATGGGAAGGAGAGAGGAAAGGGAGTAAAAATCGGCTCCTTGGAAGGGGCTAAAGACAAGGATCCATGTCCTACTGCTAGCTACACTCAGGTCAGTGTCAGCACAAGCTACAAGGTGAAGATGTCATGGCAGGGAGCCCAGGGCAGGGGCAACACATGCGATCGTGTTGCCTAGATGAACGCCCCTTAAAACCACTCTAGCCACCACCAGCACTCCTCTAGCACTGCCCTGGTTTCTTGCCCCTTTCAACTGTCCTTTAAAAAAGTCTAATATACAAATGCCATTCATACAACAGGATTTTAAAAAACTAGTTTGTGGCTTCAAGGAAGGACACTAATGTTATACCAGAGTGCCTATGTAGCACTGTATGGTGGAAATGGCACAATTTCCTAACCTCTTAGGTATGATCAAATTTATTTTCAGTGATGCCACACGTGGCTCTGCCTACAGTCTCACATATCCTCCTCTGGTGGTCTAGTCTATAAAGGGCTAAGGAAGTAGCCTTTGGAAACATGCAAAACTCAAAATTTCATGCTCCTACAAGTAGCCAAGCATGAGGGTTCTAAGACACCATCCAAATGCAGCCAAACATGTCATTTCATCACATTCGAAGTTTATAACAAAGTATAGGCTTTTTTCCCCCTTTACCTGGAATCAGACAGGACTTGCACTGGATCACCAGAATCAGGCTGCGGCTGAAGCTTGTTCCTAGGCACTTGGAGAGCTGTGTGCCACAGAAGCCCTCACAGGATGGCGCAGCAGGTGAATGCAGGCCCTCAGAAACTGCTGCCCATGGCTTTTAGGAGGGGGGACCGTGACTGCTCTAGCAAATGGAATATTTGTGTCCTGGGTCTCAGAGCTGGCTGGGAGCATGAAACATGTACAGGAGGTTCCAGGGACTTCCTGTGCAAGAAATAGGCCGCAGATGATTTCACACCAGGCAAATGCTTCAGACTTGCAGAATTTGGCCCTCTGAGAGGAAGTGAAGGGTTCTGTGTTGTCCGAGTTCTGGGTCAGTACTCCTTCAAGGAGACTTGAGTCTGTCAAGGTGCTCCTTCGGTCTCTTCCTGTGTCCTCAGGAGGCTTGGGGAGCAGATCTCCTAACTAACTGGAAACCTTGTGGCTAGAGCTTCAGAGGCACAGGATCCTGCAGGTGGGGCACCGGGAAGCCGGTCCATCTTCCTCCAACGTCAGAAATCTCATCACATTTGAGGTTTACAACCTGCCAAAATTATACACACTTCCTTCCCTTCACCTGGAATAAAGCAGGACTTCCATAGGAAATCCCTTGATTTTTCCTGCTATATAGCCATGCAAAAATGTGGGATAGGTCATTTTATACACAAAAAGAGCAGCAAAGAATAAAGTACCAATTGAAGGTGGCAGTTCTGTCTGTCGTATTTTGCAAAAGGCTGGGAAAAGAAGAGGGCTCTTTTTTCCAGTTGAAGTAATTTTGACTAAGTTTTCTCCCTAACTGCCACTGGGAGCAGTACTTATTACACAATATAACTGCTACAGTTGTCACTGACAGTCCTCTACTGGGAGCAAGATCATCTTATATCCCAGGGGGAAGATGACAGGCCTCTTTGTACCAAGCCTGCAATTTTCAAAGGTGTAAAAATATTTTGACGATAGCTCTTTTCAGCTGCCTATGTTGGCCTGAGATGTTTCCCTTCTGGTGAATGTGCTTCTGTAAATTTCCGCTTCCAGAAGTGGTAGCAGGCGTCTCTTCAACAAAACCTGGAAAAGCTTCACCTTAGAAGAGAGAAGGGAGAGAAGCAGTTGCTGGGTCTAACTCAGGTTTCCCAGTCAATGTGCCAGGCCAGGATTTTTAAAGAAGATGTATAAACCAAACATTGAAAAGAGCATATGATAAAGTTGATTTAATTAATGCAACTGACTACATCCACCAATATAGCCATTTGCATCAGAATCCGGAGCAAGCTCTGACTGGTGACGCACGCCCAGCGTGGTGGGGCCTGCGACCAAATGCCATCCCACGACAAGGACCTCCTATTTCATGAGAACACTTACCATCATTTGAATCTCTTTGAGATTAATGTGATAATAGACACTATACATTGCATATGCACTGGGACTCAGCAGATGCTTCCAACTTTTCAAAGTGAAAAAGGAAAAACCTAAGAGTTTTTAAAGCCGTGGCGCTCACCAATGTTTCCTGCTGTCCTGTGGGCAGGTTCTGCGGAACACACGCCTTCTAGTCAGTATGTTCTGAGAGGGGAGGGAGGGAGACAAGCTCCTTTCCCCACCCCAGGTCCATCCAGGTCCATCCAGCTCACGAGGGGCAGGGTGTGCTGGAGCGGTGGGGTTAGGCTGGGAATGTTCATTGGAAGAGGCATTGTCACAAGCATCAGAGAGCTGGGCATGAGGTCCGCATGGCCCTGCGGGGGGGCTCTTTCTACCTAGAATGCCCTTCCAAGGTGAACTCTACACTGCAGTCCTAGACAGAAGGGCGTTTCTGGTTGGACTGTGACATCCCAGAAAGCTGTCAACCAAAAAAGGAGTCTGCGGGGAGGGGGCTGGTGGTGTAATACTACCTGTTCTGCTCACTTAAGCCACCAGAGCAGAAGCCGTTTCTTGCCCTTCGAAGTGGGGCCAAAGGGCAAATGTGTTTGGCAGACACAGCTGTTCATAACATCCAACTCTGGGTTTGCTCGTGTGTTTCAGAAAACAGGTGAGTGCACCCCTTCAATTGAGGGAGAAAGATTTCTTCTTCCTTGACAACAATGGATTGAGTAGAGTTTCAGTTCTCTCGACTTCCTGCATGACCTTTTCCCCAAGCCCGCCCTCCCCTACCATACTCAATGTCTCTTAAGACACACTGGAACAGCGGATGCTTGGGGAGCCCATCTGGGTGAGGACCTTGTCAAGCCACTGCAAAGGCCCATTCAGGTGCAGCTCGATCCAGCAAGGGGTACTGGTCACAGTCTGTCTCCTGTAAGAAATAGGGAAAGGGGTGGGTGGGGGACTTAATCTCCAGAAGGCTACACAAGTCAGAAAACTACTTCTGCTTTGGTGACAGTTGTCTTCCCAAAGCCAGAGAGAGATCGTACCTTGTTAGATGCTGTCCTAGAAGCGTTACCAATAACTTCTGAAACTACCAGGCCAAACTCCTCCACCTAGGGGGGACTTTGGGTAAATTAAGTTCTCTTGAGGGGGAAGGAAACTGACTTCAAAGAGTTAAACATGTAAAGTCAATTGCAAAGAGTTAAATGCGTAAAAATTGCAGGCCAGGCGCAGTGGCTCATGCCTGTAATCCCAGGACTTTGGGAGGCCAAGGCAGGCAGATCACAAGGTCAGGAGTTGAAGACCAGCCTAACATGGTGAAACCCCATCTCTACTAAAACTACAAAAATTAGCTGGGCATGGTGGTGTGCACCTGTAATCCCAGGTACCCAGGAGGCTGAGGCAGGAGAATTGCTTGAACCCGGGAGGCAGAGGTTGCAGGGAGCCAAGATTGTGCCACTGCACTCTAGCCTGGGCGACAGAGCGAGACTCCATATCAAAAACAAAGTTAATTGCAGGGTACCCCGGAGGCCCCCCAGTTACTGTAACAGGTCCCCTAATAAAGGAGACCTCCAACCTGAGCAGAGGGCTCCCTGGCTTCCATCTGTACCACATGGGCTCATGCCACTCCCCTATCTCCAAATCCAGGCCCAGCCCCAGCAGGCCGTGATGACGTGTGTGTGTCTGATTGAGGGGTGTTTTTTACATAGTGCCAACAGTGTCCACATGCCTTCGGTTCCCAATGTGCTGATATAATTCTCATCTACAGCCTTATTTTGGAAAATCTTACAAGCAGAGCGAGCCATGGAACAATTACTGGAAAAAACCAAGGCACACCACACGTTTCTTTTCCCCAAAGCACTTTGTCTAAATTCAGGCTTGTTGATGACGCAGCTTGCAGGCAGGCTCCCAAAGGCCTCCACTGAGCAAAGGCTATCTGCTGAGGCTGGAGTCACTGGTGCCAGCTGGAGGTGAGAGGTGTGGGCCTTGGGCCCTGCTTTTGGCCACCTCACAGAGAGAAGGGCTAAAATCTTACTCTGCTTGGCCCAAGAGGCAGGAGGACGACAAGGCTGTTCTGGGAAGGGGCCGTGCCCGCCTGTCGGGCTGCTGTGCAGTGCTGCCAGGCAGCGGTGACGCGGTGGGCCACAGAGGACTGGGTGTGCTGGCAGGACATCCCGCGTGGTGATACAGTGTCCCCTGGGAAAGGCTCCCCCACCTAAGAACCTCTTCCTAGCACTTAGAGCACTGCGATGCCACACCAGGAACAGGGATGCTGTCTGGAGGGCACTACCCTCCTTGCTTGGCCTATGCTTTGCCTGTGCAGAGGGGAGGTTCAGAAATGGGCCTGCAGATCCTGGGGAATCTGCATGAGCGAGGGTACCTGAGTGTGGCCCTCCGGACTACAGCCTGGTGTAAGAAGAGCAAATGGATGTCCCCTTGCTCTTTTCCACTGCAGTCCATCTTTAAAGATGTCCCTTCGCCACTAAAAAAAAGATTAATTTCCTAACCTTTCACTCCCATTCCCTAAATGATCTAAGCCAGGGCTAAAAGGTTGCTTAAAACATTTCTCCAGCTGGACCTTTGGACCTGGGCTAATCTCTTCAGGCCATAACATGGTTGTAAGTTCTTCTGAGGTCTGACCACTTTGATTGCTCAATTCGTCACTCCTGGATTTCAGAGACACCCCAGAGAGCAAGGGGCTATGTTCCCTGACACCCTGGAGCGGACACAGAAGAACAGCAGCTAAAATACGGTAAGTGGAAGAGGAGGATTTTGCAGGACGACACCCTCTAATGAGAATCTGACTTTCCATAAGTCATGCTCATCTGGATTTCATTACAAACGGTGGCCCGAGGCCAATACTGAAATGGGTTTGGCATGGGTGCAGCATGACTGCAAAACAAAATGGATTCCAAACATCTGGAAAAATGAAGAGAAGGGGAGAATAGCTTGCAAGGCGCTGGCTCCAGCTGATGTGTGGGCACCTCTGCGTCTACCACGGGAGCTGGCTGGCGGCTGGCAGGGGGGAGTGTGGAGCAGAAGGTGGGGGCACACAACCCGGCCTCTCAGCAAACTCCTGTCCATGAGTGGAAAGAAAAGGGATGGGATTCTCTAAACCCAAAGCAGAATGGCCTGAGAGATTCAACCAAGCAGACCAGGTAGACCTGAACTCTGTCAGGGCCATGTTTAAACCAGAATCTAGGGCTGGGCACGGGGGCTCACGCCTGCCATCCCATCACTTTGGGAGGCTGAGGCAGGCGGATCTCCTGAGCTCAGGAGTCTGAGACCACCCTGGGCAACACGGTGAAACCCCCTCTCTACTAAAATACAAAAAATTAGCCGGATGTGGTGGTGTGCTCCTGTAATCCCAACTACTCGGGAGGCTGAGGCAGGAGAATCAACCTTGAGTCCCAGAGGCAGAGATTGTAGTGAGCCGAGATGGCCCATGTACTTCAGCTTGGGTGGCAGACTGAGACTCCATCTCAGAAAAGAAGAAAAGAAGCTAGCATCTAGAATTCTAAAGTCATTTCTCAGCAAGGAAATTTTGTTCCCTTATCACTACCCAAATCTCTTCCCTTCCCTGCCTCTCAGTTTTAACATCCTGGGCCCCTCAGCATCACCAGGGGCCCTGAGTCAGAAATGGAACCACAGAGGAGAAAAGAAACAATGAGCTGAAGACCTAACTTCCTGAAGAGGGTCATTCTAAAATAAAACATCAGTCCAAACGAAGAATAAGGAAGAGGCCACGAGGGCAGAGTTTTAGACACAGCTCTTCTACCCGTGTGACTTCAGGCAAGTCACGCTTCCTCCCTGGGCCTTAGCTCTCATCTGTATAGGGGGATGATGCCGGCGTCCCCACCCAGGGCTGGGACGAAGGTAAGACAGAGCGTGTGTTTACAGTGTCTGCAGCTGTTCGGTTCCATCAAGCATCGCTCTGCAATCCCTCCTCCTGCGCTGCTGGCCCAGCCCCTCCTGCCTGCCAGGCCATGACCTCTCTCTGATCTTCGGTCTCTGCTCTGGGCGCCAGGGATGGCCTAGCTCACCTCTGAGGAGCCCCTGGCTGCTCTGCCGTCCTGAGTCACCTGGAGTTAGGTCCCCTGATGTTAGCAGCACCTGTAACTGACCTGTACTCTGCTCCCCAGCCTTTGACGAAGCTCATGCGGATGGTGCACATTCGAGTCAACTGGTAGACAGCCTCGAAGCCCTGGTTGACGGACTGGGCCAGGAGGGCAGCAAACTCCTGGTTGTTGAAGATCTTCAGGTTGCATCCTGCCAACAACAAAGAAACAGGACTGTGGGGGTAGAAGGGGCCAGGTCCGTTGCTCCTGTCCTGGATAAAGCAAGCCCTGGACCCCCCAGACCAGCCTGACTGATACAGCTCCGGGGACACATGGTGCATGATGTATTTCCCATGCACTCCACGCTAGTACGCGAGGGACAGGCCGACTTGGTCCTTCCCCTTGAACGCACCTCCTCACCAGGAGGTGCATAGCTGACATATCTGCAAGGGGAGATGGAAGGCTGACCCATAAGTTCCGACTCCCAGAGCAGACAGAATTTTCCAAGTGGGACTCTGAGAATAGGGAGATGGTGTGGAGAGGGGGGCCTTGCCCTGGGCAAGGGGGCCAGGGGACAGAGAGACAAGGGACCTGGGCCAGGGTGCCCATGCTGTGTGGGGTCTGGTCGCCCACCTAGGAACAGGAGCTCTGGTCATTCCACAGCAAGCAGTGGCGGCAGAGACAGGCTGGCCGAAAGGCTACTGGGCCTGCCGTCCCATGGGAAGCTCGGCAGAGGGCCCAGGGCACCTTCCACCAGGGCTCCTCTGATGAATACACCTGGTGCTGGGGCTAGGAGGGAGGGTGCGATCTGGGCCACATTTTGGCCTCTGGCACCAGGCTGGATGAAGGTGACATTCACAGCTGAGTGAAGGTGTGCATCTAATTCTCCAGACAGTAAAACTAAAGACAGTCACAAAGTTTAAAATAAATGTCATTTGAAGTCATACTGCCTGAGTGCCAGGAATGCATGAACCCGAAAAATAAAGACAAAAGCACGTGCCAGAAATAGCCAAAAGGTGAGCTGGGGTGACGCTTATGAATGAGCCAACAGCAGTCTCCTATTCTTGCTGTATGACTCTGAGCTGGTCACATTCTCTTGGGGACCCTGTGTCTCTGTATAATGAGGGGCTGGCCTCAGAGGTCCTTCCAGCTCTGACATTCTATGAGCTGACAAACAACACCAGAGCCAATTCAGCCCTCACCCAAAAGATGGGGGTGGGGCCGGGGAAGGGAGGAGGCAGAAGGCCAAGAGCGTCACTGAGCTTCCTCTTCTCATTCTCTCCAAGGACAAGGGTGATGGAGCAGGGCTGAACCTGGGCCCTGATCCCCAACAGAGCCAAGAAGCAGAAGAGGACCAGACTTGAGAGTCCATCAGTTCTCATCCGAGGCCCCATCCGGGCTTGGCCGCTTACTAGCTGTGTGTCCTTGGGCAGGTGGCTGAAACACTCTGAACTTGTCTCCTCAAAGTGTCTCCCGACTTACAGAGCCAGAGAATAACTGGAGAGGACTAGACGAGGTCAAAGATCAGAATGTACTCTGTAAATGCAACCCCAGAGTGCTCTGGAAACCCGCTGTGCTGTTACCATTTCAGACTCTGCATTCTAAAGTTTCCCTTGTCCGTAGCCCACCACTTCCCCCCACCATCTGCTTCTCAGTGGGCAGGAAAGGGCATGTGGCACATGTCACAGGCCACGTTCTGTGGGCTGCCTGCCCAGTGGCTGCATCCCCTGTGAGAAGTGGGCTTTGGCTGGGGCTTTCTGCCTTGGTTTCCTAAGGAAAGAAGCCTTAGATGGGATCAGCTGCCTGCCTGATCTCTCTGTCCAGGTGTGGCCCTGTCGAAACCACTGTCAGGGGTGCAGCCCGACACATCTTCTTGGGGTACAGGTGGGATTTTTCAGGCTCACTCAGAAAACCCTCAGGAGTTCCCTAGAGTCAGACTCTTGTGTCCCTCCATGGCCTCCTGCTGTTGTGCTTTTCAAACATTTTCCCCTGACTGTCTCATACGTGGCCCTCCTCCAGCCAGAGTGCCGCCCAGCCATGCCCTGCCCTCCATTACCTCGGGGCCTTTGCCTGGGCTGTTTCCCTGTCTAGAATGCCCTTCCTGTGCCTAATGCCTACCTATCCTTCAAGGTCAGGATGCTTCTCCACCATGAAGACATCCCTGATCCATCACAACAGCTAAATGGGCCTTCTCTCTACCTGGGCTACTGGGCTGGTGCTTAGCACCCCTCCCTTATACTGAACTCTTCAGTGTCTTTGTCTTACGTGCTCTGCAGGTTTGTAAGGTCTGCAGGGACAGAGCAGGGCCCCATCTACCTCTTCATCCCCTACAGCACCTGGCACGAAGCCCTGCACACTGTCTGTCTGTGCAATGCGGGAGTGAAGAAAGGAAGCCATGTTGCCTGTGTATCCACTCACAGGTACCTGCAATGGGCAGGTACCCACAGGTTAAAGGCAGACCCATCAGATGCTACATCTGCTCCCTGGAGGTTCAGGGAAAGCACAGTTAGATCTGTGGGCACAGAAAAAACCCAATTGAATCACCATCAGATTGACAACGCCATCAACACTGAGCAGAAAAGGTGAGAAAGACGGACTCTCCAGCATCCCAGGCATGCGCTCAGAGAGGGACCTCAGGGCAGGGGTGCCTGTGTGGCTGCCTTACCTGGTGGGATCTTGCAGACGGTGGCTGGGTGCCAGCCATAACGCTGGTTACAGTTGGGAGACTGGACAAAGATAGCACTGTCACTGAGGCACTCTGCGAAGACCTCCCCTCCGATGTAGTAGAGCCGCACGCCTCTTCCTACAGAGATTCAGGTTAGACTGGACAGGGTGACTTTGCTCACACACAATGGCCCGGGGGCCACCTGAGGCTTGCAGAGGAGGCAGGGCTGCTCCCAGTGACTGACAGCCTCCCCAGGCAAACGGGCCCCAAAGCCCAGGCCTAAAGTAGGGGAAATCATGGGCAATGCTGGATTCCTGAAGCCACGGGAGGCAGATGACAAGAAAAGCACATGGGATAGGTCTCAATGACAGCCTTTGCCACTGAGTAGGCATAAGCCTCAGTCAAATTATTCACCCTCTGAGCCTTTGTTTGTCTCTACAATAGGGATGGGGGCTGGGCGCAGTGTCTCACACCTGTAATCCCAGAGCTTTAGGAGGGCAAGGTGGGAGGACCACTTGGGGCCAGGAGTTCAAGGCCAGCCTGAGCAACAGCGTGAGACTTCATCTCTACAAAAATATTTTTTAAAAGTTAGCTGGGCATCGTGCCATATGCCTGTAGTCCTGGCTGCTTGGGAGGCTGAGGCAGGCAGATTGCTTGAGTCCAGGGGTTCAAGACGGCAGTGAGCTCTGATCACGCCACTGCACTCCAGCCTGGGAGACGAAGTGAGACCCTAACTCAAATAATAAAAATAAAAAAGGGAATGATGATAATCCCTACCCTTGTAGGATTACTGTGAAACACGCAGTAAGCTCCTGTAAGTGTCGGCTTCTCCTGCTGCTGCTGCCACCCCACCACCTACTACTGTTTGGTCTCTTCACACTCTAAGATTCAGAGATTCATTCAGTACACCTGCTGGGCTTCATCTGATGAAACAGACGCCCCAAGGAGCCCTTTATTGCAGGGACGGTTTAACACTACCCCCATATTTTTTCTTCCGTCAATGCATTTTTCTAAAACATTCCAGAGGTTTATACCATTTACTTTTCTTTCATCTCTTAAATCCACTCCAGATGGACAGAAATTATTTTTAAATTGGCTCTGCAGCTCAAACAGTTACGTAAACTCTGACAGTGAGCTCTTTGCTCGGACAGGGATGGTCCCTTATCCTGCATAGGAAAATCTCTGTTCCATTCCTGGGGAAGCAGCTCAGAGGCCAGAACGCGGAGCCAGATGTTATAGGCCCAGCATGAGGTGGGATGAACACCAGGCAGCTGATCCATGCATCCCTGGATATCCCCTGCCCTGCCTCCTATTCCCTCAACCACTCCTCATTTTCTCTGGCTTTAGTTCTGCAGGGTGCTGGTGTCACAGCGTCCTCAGGAGGGGTGACTGCTGCCTGTCCACAACTGTCAAGTCAGTAAGAGCAGGAGGCAGAGGCAAGGATGTGAAGACCCAGACTAAAATGTTTGTTTCATTTCAGTAACTTAAAAAAATATATTTATGGCCAGGTACGGTTGCTCGTGCCTGTAATCCCAGCACTTTGAGAGGCTGAGGCAGGTGGATCAAGAGGTCAGGAGTTTGAGACCAGCCTGGCCAATATGATGAAACCCCATCTCTACTAAAAATACAAAAAATGGTGGTGCATGCCTGTAGTCTCAGCTACTCGGGAGGCTGAGACAGAAGAATTGCTTGAACCCGAGAGGCAGCGGTTGCATACCTTTTATGCTTATAAAACTGCCAGAACTGGCCGGGCGCAGTGGCTCACTCCTGTAATCCCAGCACTTTGGGAGGTAGAGGTGGGCGGATCACAAGGTCAAGAGATCGAGACCATCCTGGCCAACATGGTGAAACCCTGTCTCTACTAAAAATACAAAAATAAGCAGGGCGTGGTGGTGGGTGCCTGTAATCCCAGCTACTCAGGATGCTGAGGTAGGAGAATCGCTTGAACTCAGGAGGCGGAGGTTGCAGTGAGTCGAGCTCATGCCACTGCACTCCAGCCTGGGGGAATAGAGAGACTGTGGCTCCCCACCAAAAAACACAGATTTCATATGTTGCCTTTCTCATAGACGCTCCTTTCTGGATCCCTTAAGTGAAGTACTTTCCTCTGTGGCCTCCAGATTTTCTGAGATTGTATCTTTGAGTGGGAATGATCAACTGGCCTGAACACTACCCATCTGGCCCCTAAACAGGGCAACAGAGAATATGGGGGCCTTGCTGAGGCAGCGAGTCTTCCCCCATTCCCAGCAGGAGGCAGAGCACAGCTAAGGATGGGTTCCGTGCAGAGGGTGTGTTGGGGCCTAGGACTGGTGGGGGATAGAGCAGTGGGGACAGGATGGGGAGGGCAGGGGATGCAGCCACCCCATACCGATGTGCCTCCGCGTCAGCTCCACCGCTGCGTTCCTGTTGACGTTAGAGAGCAGCCCTAGGCAGAAGCGCTCTGAGTTGGAGGGGTCGGTGAAGCCGTCCACAGTCATGGATGGCTGCGAGGCGTGGAACGTCTCCCCGACGCGCTGGTTCAGCTCGTAGTAGGAGATGGAGCACCAGAAGGCTGGCTCGCAGTAGGTGACCGGCTGCAGGTCTGCGCACACAGAGTAGGCTACCGGGTCAGTGGGTGCCCCAGGCCCCATGCTCCCTCGATGGGGTCCCATGGAGGCTCTGGAAAACCATTTCCCTGCATTTCAGAGGGTATTAATAATCTCCCCTACCCCATGCCTTTTATTGTATAAAACTGGCAGGACACACCAGAACAAGGTGTCTGGAGGAGACTGCGTCAGGCTTGCCATGGTATGAGTGTAAAGGGCTATTGATTTCTTTTTTTTTTTTTTTTTTTTAGCTCACAGAGGTCCTGCCCCGCCTGCTTGGCCTTGACTGGATGGAGGGAGTCTTCAAGGAGGGGCTAGGTCAAACCGGAAGAGGACCAGGGGACCACCCAGTACACTCACCGTGGGGCAGGCCACAGCTTCTGCACGGTCACCTCCCAGCCTCTCTTGCAAGATCCCCAGAGTAACCCACATTAATCCTTGCCCCTAAAAGGGCTTTCAGGCTTTGGCTCTGCACAGCCTTAGGGGCAAACTCCAGGCCTGCGGAGCCGCAGCTTCCAAGCCTACAGCAGCTGAGTGGGTTCCCAAAGGCACACCGCATCAGCGCAGTGGACACACCAGGCATCGTCTGCAGACTGAGCCCGGGGCCACGTCTGTTATCACAGAAACTGTTTTCCACATTTACCTAGATGCTGGCTGCTGGGGTGGTTGGACACAAGAGCAGCTGGAGAAGGTTGGCATGGGTCCCAGATGTCTGTGCAGCCTCCATCAGGAGCTCCTCAAAGCAAAACTGCCACCATGAAAGGGGCTGCTGCCTTTTCTCAGAAGAGTAAATGGTGGCTTTTCCTCACACTGGACACTTCCCAGCCTTCCATTTCCTGGGGCCTCCTCGCCCTCCTCTTGCCCCAGCAGCCGTGGCACTATGCCCTTGCAATTCCCACCCACACCGATGCCACAGCCTCTGGACCAGGACTGCCTTGTGCCCCATGCCAGCCATTTCCAACTGCTTCTCTGTGCTGCACTGACTGCCGGGCGTGAGCCCCGGGCCCAATACTCTGCCTGATGCCTACCTGAATCCCATCCATGTGCTGAAGAATCAGGGAGTCACCCCTGCTCATTCATACTCTTCCATCTCAAACCTTCAGCCTGGCTCTGAAGTCCCTCTGGCTCTTAAACATACCTGGGGCCACCCCGTTACTGAGGGTGCACCTCTGTGTGAGCATCCTGACTGTCCAACTCGACCACGGGGTCCTAGAGCCCAGGGTGACATCTCTCCTCACTCTCTTTAACCTTCAGCGTGGGGCTCTGATGTGGGAGGAGCAGGAGAGACTCGCCATGCCCACATCTCAGCCCTGGCCTGAGAGCCTTGCTCACTGGGTGCCAGGCAATGTCTAGGAGAGAGCCCACCAGGGACCTCTGCTCATCAGACCTACTGAAGGTGTGTGGAGCCCAGGAGAGAAAAGTCAAAAGCCGTTCTGCCCACAGGAAGGGGCCTGGTTGCCCCTGCTAGACAGAGTGCCCTGATCCCCTTTGGGGGTCTAGGCATATGATCCCTTCTAAGAGCAAGTAGAGCACTACCGTGCACAGCAAAGGGGCAGGCCAGTAACACCCTGCACTCCACACACACCCAGCAAGTGTGAGCTGGAGGGTTGGGATGCCCTGGGTCAGGTTTTTCAACTTCAGCACTACTGACATTTGGGGCCAGGTAACTCTTTGTTGGGTGGGTGGGCGGGTCTGTACGTTGCAGGGTGTTTGGCTGCATTCTAGTCCCTACTGTATACATCCATATCACCCCCTCAAGTTGCGGCAATAAAAAAAGGCTGCGGATCTTGCCAGATGTCTTCTGGGGGCAAAAGGACCTCCAGTTGAAAACCACTGCCCTAGATATTAACTGGATCGTGGGGCAGAGGCTTTAAAGCCATCCTCCAGACGGACTGGAGGTCAGTCTTGGCTCAGGCACAGACGAGATGTGTGGCTGCAAGCAAACCAGCTACTCTCTCTGGATCTCATCCTCTTTCCTCTCCGTGCTGTTTCTGGACAGAGCCAACTTACGGGAAGTGCAGGGCGCACACCAAGCACTCAGCACATGGTTTTAACAATGATAATAACCCAACTCTGAACGTGAACACAGCCCGGTCCTATCCTCATCACCAACAAGATGGAGTGGCAAAGCATTCTTGCCCCTTTCCGCTCTTCCTGGGGGGGAGCAAAGGAAGATAAGGATGAAGGCATCCAAGATACTTAATGCAGAAGGGAGGAATAACAGGGCCAGGAGCAGCTGTGGCTTGTGCCCTGGCTCCTAAGTTGAGGCTGAGCCACGTCAGCCACATCCAGCACCGGCTTTGCTTGATGCTTCAACATTCCAATGAGATAAGCTACATTCTAAACAATGTGGTCACTAAAATGTGAGCTATGTTGCTTTGGAAACTTAAAAAAAATCCTCCAAGTGCAATCCAAGCATTCAGAGTGGTCAGGCAGTATATCAGTGCTGCTGGCCACCGCTGCCCCAGTGCGGGCTCTGCTGATCCTGTGTGACCATGGCGACGTGACCTCCTTCTGTAACCTCAGTTTTCTAGTCCATACAATGACTGCGGTGCACTAGAGGACAGTAAGGCAGCCGGGCGCAGTGGCTCACGCCTGTAATCCCAGCACTTCAGGAGGCAGAGACAGACGGATCATGAGGTCAGGAGTTTGAGACCAGCCTGACCAATATGGTAAAACCCTGTCCCTACTAAAAAATACAAAAATTAGCTCAGTGGGGTGGTGGTGCATGCCTGTAGTTCCAGCTACTCGGGAGGCTGAAGCAGAATTGCTGGAAGCCGGTTGCAGTGAGCCGAGATCGCACCACTGCACTCCAGTCTGGGCGACAGAGCAAGACTCCATCTCAAAAACAACAACAACGAAGGCAATCAAGCTGACCACCTAGGTCACTGTTCCACCACGGGTCAGTTTGAACATAGAGCTTTGGCCGGCCCTGGCTGGCTCAGCAATGTGGAGAACAGAACACGGTCCTCACCCCAAAATCATAAAGCCCTGCCCAGCATTCTCTGGGTTTAGTCCAGGCAGAAGAGAAAGAGCTAGGCTCCCAGGAACAGCAACCCAGACCACATTCAAAGAAAGAAAAAGCCAGCAGGCCACCCATTGTGTGGCGTGGTGCTGGAACCATGCTCTGGGGAAGGGTGGGCTTCAAGGACCCTCAGAATCGAGGCGGGCTTGGGGTCCTAGGCCGAGAGGCCCTCCCAAGCAGATCTGGGCCCTTATCCAAACAGCCCTGCAACTCCCAGACACACACGGGACAGTGTTGTGGGAAACCCCGGATACCAGGAGCCTGGCACGTCACTAGGAAGATGCTAGTTTGAAGGAGCAGTGAAATCAGGCCAGCGGCAAAGCCTGCAGGCTGCCATTTCAGAGAGGGCTGTTTGGACAAGCTGCCCTGTGTTCAGAAGTGGGACTGAGGCAGGTCAGCATCCCAGCCATGCACTTTCTATTCTCTGCAAACAACTAAAAGCCAGCTGTGCCTCTCCCTCCTTTCTAGGTCCCTCCCACCCATCATGCCTCAGCTGCTTCCTCCCGGAACTTGTGCAAGAGGAGAGGCAGGTCGGAAAGCATGGTCACCACCTCTGGGTTCTGCCTTCAATGGCACATTTTTCTTTAAAAAACAATAACAACAATAATAAAAAACACTATATATGCCCTCATTTCTTTCCCAAAGGACTTATCCTTACCCTGGTTAGTACCAGAGAAGCCAAAAGGACTCTGGAATGAAGGCAGCTATAAATGGAGGTTATAGCTACTGCAAAAGCATACAACTTGGCTCTGAGCTTCCTAGTAGACAAGGCAAAAAGGGAACATGATATGATATGTGGCTCGGGTTGCTGGATGGGCAATGCTTACTGGCTCTTTGGGGGAAACAAAGCTTGTCCTGGCACTAAATTTTGAAAGGAATCTATCTCAGGCTGGGCATGGTGGGTCACACCTGTAATCCCAGCAGTTTGGAGGCTGAGGCGGGTGGACCATGAGGTCAGGAGTTTGAGACCTGCCTGGCCAATACAGTAAAACCCCGTCTCTACTAAAAAATATGAAAAAAATTAGTGGGCATGGTGGCATGTGCCCATAGTCCCAGCTACTCAGGAGGCTGGGGCAGGAGAATCGCTGGAACTCTGGAAGCGGAGGTTGCAGTGACCAGAGATCATGACACTGCACTCCAGCCTGGGGAGACTCCATCTCAAAAAAAAAAAAAAAAAGAAAGTTTCTCAGGGGGAAGTGGCAACCTCTCCCTGCACCAATCAAGCAATTGATTAAGCAAATAAGATCTGGTTCCAAGGGTTTACCAACAAATCAGAAGCAATTCTACAGAATTGCTTTTTTATTTTTTATTTTATAAGATGGGGTTTCACCATGATGGCCAGGCTGGTCTCGAACTCCTGACCTCAGGTGATCCACCCACCTCGGCCTCCCAAAGTGCTAGGATTACAGGTGTGAGCCACTGTGCCCGGCCTACAGGATTGCTTTTTACATTTTTACAGAATTTTTACATTTACAGAATTTTTGCATTTCACCAAAAATACAGAAGCGCCTCTGGGAGAATGACTACTGGGGGTAAGGTGACACACCCCAGTGGAGAGTAGTTTCACCTCCAGGCTGAGCATTCCGCACACCTGGGGTGGGAGACGATGGCACCTGCCCAAGGCCTTCCCTTCAAACAGCCCTGCTCCCGGCCAGACTCCTGAGTCTGTGCTGATCTCTCTTCCCAGAGCAGAAGTATTAGAGATGCAGAAACCTCCAGCCTCAGCCGTTGTCCCCCGCCCCCACCAGTGTGGTGTCGGCCAGACTTCTCGAGTGGCATGGGGCACTTAATCCACGGCTGGCCCCCTGCCAGCGTAACGCATTGGCTGGCCTCAGTTTTCAGTCCTGTTCCAAGCTGGCACAGACGTTCCATTTTGTTTAAGAAAAAGAAAACAGAATAAAACCCAGAAGGCAACACTTGGATTAAGGGATGCCTATTAAAAACATGTGCTAGAGATTCAAATCCGGTAAA